CTCTCTCTCTCTCTCTCTCTCTCTCTCTCTCTCTCTCTCTCTCTCTCTCTCCCTATCTATCTATCTCTCTCTTTCTCTGCCTGTCTCTCTTTTGTTCTTCTTTTTCGCCCTTAGTTTCTTTCTTCTGTTTTTTTTTTTCTTTAAAAAAAAAACTTTCTCAAGTGCGGACATTCAGTTCCGATACTGCTGCGGTCCGGCAGGGGGAGGTTTGGAATGCCCTCCTCAACCTTTCTGTCGTCGGGCTAATTAGAGATGGCTGTGGGATTAGCCCTGGTGGAGTGGGGGACAGAGTGGACCCTGCCCTGTGATCTCCTCCTCTTCTGGTATGCCGTCCTCCTCCGCTCGACGATGACTTCTTATCTTTTTCGGGGATTCTTTCTTTCTTTTTTTTTTACATGCGGGTTTAAGTTTCTTTTGATTATGTCACACCATATTTTAAAAAAGTGATTTGTAAGAAAGCGGGTGGTGGGGGGCTGAGAGGAAGAAAGTGGGCGTCTAAATCGTAGGACAGGTGTGGATCTAATGAGAGATATGTGGGCGTTTGATATATTACTACACTTTTTAAAAAATATTATTATTACTATTATTATTATTATTATTATTATTATTATTATTATTATTATTATTATAAATTATACAGAGAGAGAGAGAAAGAGAGAGAGAGAGAGAAAGAGAGAGAGAAAGAGAGAGAGAGAGAGAGAGAGAGCGAGGGAGACAGAGAAAGATATATATATTAGACGCAGGGAGAGAGAAACAATGAGACAGAGGGAGAACGAGAGAGAGAGACAATTATTTGAACTCCATGCCTCCAAGATACGAGTTGGATATTTTCTAAAATCCTTTCGTCCACCCTTCCAGCAGTTTCTCTTTCCTTCCTGCCAAATCGCTATCTGCCTTAATTCATCCGTCCATCCGTCTGACCACGGATCCCATCAGTCTATCCATTTATCTATCTATCTATCTATCTATCTATCTATCTATCTATCTATCTATCTATCTATCTATCTATCTATCTATCTATCTATCTATCTATCCATCTATCTGTCTTTCTATCTATCTGTCTTTCTATCTATCTGTCTATGTATATATCTATCTGTCTATCTGTCTATCTATCTATTTATCTATCTATCTATCTATCTATCTATCTATCTATCTATCTATCTATCTATCTATCTATCTATCTATCTATCTGTCGGTTTATCTGTCTGTCTGTCTTTGTCTGTCTGTCTGTCTGTCTGTCTATCTACGCCCCCCCCCCCAAAAAAAAAATAACCACAAAAATACTAGCAGGTAAATAATAAGACTCGTCGTCCCCGCCCTCTGTGTTCTCTCCCCCCTCGGGCTATTATCGTAAAAGAGGGGAAAAAAAGAATGTCCTCTTAAATTTCTTAAGCGACCAGCATGACATAATAAAAAGGGAGCGAGAGAGAGAGAGAGAGAGAGAGAGAGAGAGAGAGAGAGAGAGAGAGAGAGAGAGAGAGAAAAGAAGAAAAAAAAGAACCCAAAACGACATGGCGTAGAAATGTAGGGCCTCCTACAAAAACATCCAAAGCAGTAATAAGAGATCTCCCTCTCGGAGGGGTGGCCCTGGATGAAAGCGGGATGCCCGCCAGGCGAAGAAAGAACGGGAACAGTTTTAATCGCGGCTAAGCAGGACGTTGAAAAATTGCTGCGGAGGGGAGGGGGGCGCTGGACAATGGCTAAGGTGAGCGCGGACGAGGGAATAATGGGTTCGAGGAGGGAGGATATATGACGGGGATAAAGGGGGATGCCTTGTTGGGAAGGTATTTACGACACGATCCCAGCGATCTAGCTTGTTTTGTATCGCCGGACGCCGCCGCGCGAGAGACGCGGTACAGTCCTCTCGGACATGGGCGGCTTTATAAAGTCCAGTGAGTTTTAGTTTTATGTATGTAGATAGATAGATAGATGGACGGACGGATGGACGGACGGACGGACGGACGGACGGAGACGGACAGACGGACGGACCGACAGACCGACAGACCGACAGACAGACAGACAGACAGACAGACAGACAGACAGACAGACAGACAGACAGACAGAGAGAGGGGATGGATGGATGGGTGGGTGGATAGATAGATAAATAGATAGATAGATAGATAGATAGCGATAGATCAATAGATGGATAGATAGATAGATATTATATGATGAAATACTTACAAGAGAGAAGGTATAATAGGTTGAGAGGTGGAGAAAAGCTGGAGAACTGACTGGTTGCTACGGGATGGATGGAGAAGAAGAACAGAAACAAAAGAAGTTGGTGAAGGAGGAGGGGGAGGAGGAAGAGGAACAAGAAAAGATACAACTTGTAGATAGATAGATAGAGACAGACAGAACGAGAAACAGATAGATAGAGTGAAAAACAGAAGTTACGAGAAAGACATAGACAGGCAAACAGACAGACTGGCTGACAGAGTAGGCTGAGAACATTGACCACACTATAAAGCCTAATCCCTTGTGGTGGGCGGAGTCGTTGTGATCTGCGATCTCTCTCTCTCTCTCTCTCTCTTTCTCTCCGGCTCTCTCTCTCTCTCTCTCTCTCTCTCTCTCTCTCTCTCTCCGGCTCTCTCTCTCTCTCTCTCTCTCTCCGGCTCTCTCTCTCTCTCCGGCTCTCCCCGGCTCTCTCTCTCTCTCTCTCTCTCTCTCTCTCTCTCTCTCTCTCTCTCTCTCTCTCCGGCTTCCCGCCGTGACTGGTGGAGAGCCTTTGATCTTTTGGTGCTGATGGAACTGTGACTGCGGGATATCACAAGGACTGTACTAATCCTCTCCCCGGGACCTCATAGTTATCCTCGTTTTCTTTGAGTTCTTTTTTATTTTATTTTTTTTGTTTCTGACTTGTTTTCTTTTTGTTTGTTTTTGGTTTTTTTGGGGTTGTTGTTTTTTTGTTTTTTTGTTTTTTTGTTTTTTTTTTGTCTTTGTTTTTTTTTTTGGGGGGTGGGGCATTTTGTTTTGTTGTTTTGTTATTTTGTTTGTTAGTTTGGGGGTGTTTGTTTTTGTTGTGTTTTCTTTGTTTTTGTTGTTTGTTTTGTTTTTTGTTTGTTTGTTTGTTTGTTGTTGTTTTTTAGGGGGGGGGGGGGGTAAGAATGTTGCTGCAAGTGTGTTGTTTTGTCATAATAATGGTAGTATTGGTCTCTATGACTTCTTACTCGACACGGTGGCTTTGTTGTTGTCGTATATTCTTGCTTTTGTTGTCGTATTTTGTTAGTGGTGTTGGTGGGGTGCTGGTGGTAATCTTAACGCTCTTCTCTTCTCCTCCAAACGCGGATCGCTGTCGTTGTTGTTCTTATTTCTCTTATTTATCTTCTTTATTGTTGGTTCTTTTGTGTATCTTTCTGTTGCTGATGTTCCTGTTGTCTATATTTGTGTAGGTGATTGAAGGGCGCTTCGTGGGTGCTTGGCGGGTGCTCTCGTGTGGTTTGCTTTTTCTTTCCTATCAAGCGTCTATCGTCCATATTTCTCCTCC